GAATCCTTATGGGTTATCGTACCTCTAAAATTTATTTTTGATCAGAGCATTGACTAATGAAGTCAGTGCTCTGATTTGATTTTAAGAAGTAAGATCAGAGCACCGACTTCTTGAAAGTAAACAGAAACTAACTGAAGTTTATATAAATTCTTCAGTCTAATACTTTTAAATATACAACTTCCAACGTATGTAAATATAGATTTTCGCTTATTTTAATGTTTTTATAATGTAAAATGGCTCGCATTTGATAATAAGGTCAAAGTTTGTGGATAGCCATTTGTTTTCAGAAATATAATTTTACCAATTCAATTACTCCATTATTTTGGAATAGATTTAACGATTGATTTTCAGGTTATAAAAGTTTTATTCTATTTAAAAAGTAATTCATCAGTCAATAAACTGATCAAGGATACAACATTACAACTTTATCCATATTTATGAAATGTTCTCAAATATGTCAGCTCACTTTCGTTTCAATTTGATATATAAGCTAAACAATCGTTGTTGTTCCGGTATCGGGAAAGAAAGCAGTATTGATCGGGCTTTCCCGAGAACTTCCAAATTTAGAAGATCGAGAAAAGGAATGTCTAAGTTGACTACCTCGTCGGATGACTTCTGCTCGAAAGCCATCAACTCCTTGAAAGGTTTTGCCAAATCTTTCTAGCGGATTCTCTCTTATATTACCACAACAACGGAATGCACACACACAACCTAAATGCTAATAAGCACATTTACATCTAGAATTAATTCTTTAAGTTGATTTGTAAATGCATAATAATAAGCATGTCCAAGACTATGAAAAGTTTAAACTCATTGTTTTTGAAAAAATGTAACAGTGTACTTGAAAATAATTTGGCGCTATACCTAAATTCATAAATTAATCAAATACTTTGGCTCCCAAATCCTCTTTGATCAAGAAAATTTGGTTAGCTGACATTTTTATGTAAAAAAATTTATTAGATACAAATGCTAACAGTTTGATCGAAGTATTACTAACTCATCACTTACATGTGATCAAGGCAGTGAGTAAAACAGCAACTCCGACAGCAATTATCAGTGATAATATACCAGTGTCAATTCGATTTTCTGGTGCACCTTTCAATTCGTCATGCAGAGCTGCTGAAAATAGTGTGCAAATTAATTATTTAAATAAGGAAAAAAATTAAGATTTAGTAATCAGTATTATTCAAACAAATATTGATTACCAAATCCTAATTTTTGAAACTGTCAATTTTTTGATCAAAAATTTTTTTGAATTAAAAGGAAACACTTTTGAAATTTGCTTCATTTTAAAGGCACAAAAAGTGATTACTTTTCAAAAGTAACTTGGGATTAATGAAAATGTATGCTTACCGATTACTCGTGTGAGCGCTTCATACCATTTATCATTTTGTATTAAACTATTTACATCCTTCAGAATTTTTCTTCTTTCACTTGTTGTCACATAACGTTGAGCAAGTCGAGCAGGCCATATGACCATCTTCAAATTTTTGCCTCTAATCATGAACTTTGCATTTGCTAATTTAATTTTCACTTCAATTTTTGATGACTTTAGTTTCTTATCAATTAATAATGATAGATCATGCATTTACGTGTTTGGTATGAAAATAGCAAAAAACATATTAGTAGAATACAAAGTAAATAAATTTGGATAAATACTGCTTAATTTTAGCTTTTTATTTTTTATTCTTTATGAATAATACAAAATACAGTATTTGTTATTCAGAGTAACCTTTCTGTAATGTCTCCACACAAATATCAGTACAGAATTACCACAGTCTCCTAGTGCCCATCGACCTTCTAAGGTTCGACAAAAACCTTCTGCTCGATCTGTTAATTGTCTGCAAAAATTCTTGCGATATTTTTCAATTTAGCTTTAATAATTGAAATTTTTGGGCATCACAAAGATAAAAATATAAAGTAAGATTAATAATTCGAGAGAAATTAGATGAAGTAATCAGTTAATTATGGTTATAGCTAGATAATCATTAAGATTAATAATCGCAAACAATGTGTCACAAAATTTTGCGAACTGACACTAATTTGATGCTTAATTGTATGCAGTGTTTTGACTGATCTTAGTCTTCATACAACTATTAAATTCTCAACTTTAGCAATAATGCATTATATTCTTGTAATGAATATTTTATTACATTACTTATAAATAAAGACTAAAATTTTCCATTTTTAAATTAGGTATTTGAAAAACCAGCTTTGTGTAATAAGAAAGTTTTGATTGAATGATTTTCTTCCTACATATTCTTTCATATTCTTTCAGCTTATAATGCTTGAATGCAATTTAAAGTTTTCATT